TAATAATAATTTAATATTAAAAAATAAATAATTAATAAAAATATTCACTACCAAGATAATTAGAGCAATAAATCTCAGTACTGGGTGTTCGTCAGGTAGCTGTTGTATCGCAAGATAATGAAAGCATAGTGCCAATTAGTATCACTGCTGCAAATAAACAGGCACTGATCCTAATGCACTGAGAATACAAAGTAAGTCTTCCAGACCATGAATGGTTTGTAGCCCCAAGTCATAAGCTTATTTTGAGTGTGTATGCAGGCATTTATATCACAGGTGGGAAAAATTGGTGATCCAAAACTATAACGCACTCAGGGCCTAGTTACATTGCCATCCACAGTGTCAAGCACTCGATAAGTACAGCAGCAACTCACGCTTATGATTTTAGAAGATTGTTAAACTTGGAATCTTTTAATAAACGACTTTGTAAGAAAATAATTATTTGCACATAAAATTTCTCACTCTAATTAAGTTTAACAATTTTATTTTGCATTATAAATTATTTAATCTTAGATACTGATAAAGAAGTAAGACCTATAGGTATATATATATTATAAATTGTAGTGCTCTACGTCTGGCTCCTTTTAATAAGGGCACTACTATGGGCACTTAGCTTTTGAGAAAGAGGCAAGGAAAGGAATGGAATTCTTTTCATTACAGGAGATGGATTGGCAAAAATTAGACAATTCTTGGTGCGTGAAGGTCACCCATTTCATTACAAGGAGCATTGGGTGGTGAAAAAGCACATGTGGAGAATCACAGAGGTACTTTCAGGAAAATGCAGCACTAGCTGAAAATTAAACCACGGTCTCCCACGTGCCAATCTACGATCTAGCAGACTGAGCCACCGTGCTCTTTATCTATATATATAATGGCGATGTGTTGTTTTTTTTGACGGGTGAACACATGTGTGCGTCGTCTTTCAAGTGCCTTCTGCAATTCGCCTTTGTCGTTGCATTGAGTCAGCTCACGTTCATGCTAAATTTACTATAGCCTTGCCCAGTGTTTTACCTTCTCTTACTTAGGGGCCATCCATAAACTACGTAACGCCATTAAGGAGTGGTAGGGGTATGACAAATTGCGACATTAAGTTACATGAGGAGAGGGGGGATTAAATTAAAAGTAACGTTACTTTACTTTATGCCACAAAAATTCAACAAAATTAAATGCACTATCATATTTTACCAAATAGAGTGCGTAATTACAAGTTTCTCAGTCGTGCCACGCTAGGTGCTGTATTGTACGTGTATACTAGTGACACTACTACCAACCTAGTTGAATTATATTATGTTGATCACGCAACAGGGTTTTGTTTTTCTTGTTGACAAGTCGCGACGAAAAAATCAGTCGATAGTAGAGTATTGACACATGCATAACAAAAAAAGTTTTTTGTTTTAATTATAACACAAGCGCAGTATATTATTTAATATTACCATATTAAGTTCAGTGTTAAGTGTATAATTTAATGTCCGAAAAATGTGTATTTTGATTACAACATTAGTCTTAGTATACAAAATAGTATGAATCTTACAAAAAGTGTAATGCAAATAATTTTTCTGGACAAAAAATCCAATAAGACGTTAACAAATTATCGAAAAGTTTTAAAGAAGACAAGGAATCATTTCCAGGTAACGTGAAGAAGGAAATCAAGGAACTTCTTCTAAAAAAAAAAGATGCAGAAAAGATTTTTTTCTTAACACGGCAAGTAAGATTAATCTTCATTAAAAAAATTTTTCGTGTTATCTAAGCTATGAATAAAACTTGAAATAAATTTTGTATGATCTACATTGACGTTAATATTATTTATA